GCTCTGTGCACTGTGCTATTAGTGGTTCCCGGAAGGGCGCCCTTGCAATGGGAAGGTGTCTGTGGGCGCCCGGCTACTGGCACATTCTATCCTGCATCCTAACTTCAATTAAACACAGGACTTTTCCTCTTGTGATGCAATGACTTTCTAGAAGCTTATCGATGTGTTGGGGAAAGAAACACATCCTCACATTCATATCTTTGGTTAGGATGTAGAACAGTGGGAGAGAAAACGATAAAAATAAAAGCCCTGGTGTAATGGGAAGCCTGGTATGTGATTTTATCTCATCAGTAAGGAGGACTAAAAATACGTAACGGTGTTTTCATCTGCTCTGTGGCTAAGTGTGTATTTCAATGCAAAGATGACCTTTTATTTGAGAAATTAGTTGGTAATTAGTCACATGCTATGCATTTCCAACAAATATCTGATGAGAGCTAAGGAAAGATTATTTGGTTTAGAGTGGGTTCTGGCAGAATTACTAACCAGCTTTTGCATTTTGTTCATGGTAAAATATCCCAAGCGTAGTTAGCACATCTTTTCTAGATGTGACGTTTACCCTAAGTAAATAGCAGGTCATTGGAGGAAATTCTTCAGTCTTTATAAATTTATAATTAAAGTTTTCTGTTCACCGCTTCTCAAGGCTTTTGGTTCAGATCAAGTATATACTTGGCACTCTCAGATTATTTTAGCTATGTTGACAGATGCATAAAATGCATAGCAAATATGAGTGTCTACTACTTTGGAAGTATTAAATCCAAGAAATGAAGGCAACTGAAAGCAAGAAGTTAGAAATCGGTCATTAAGCAGAGGCACCTGTTGGGTGGTTGGAGCTATGTTCAGACACAAAGCAGAAAGCACTGAATTTGTGCTGTGGGACTCTGCTGTGACCTCCAGCTGGGGAAGTATTCCAAGGAAGGTTCCATTGTGACTGTCGGTAATTGTACAGCCCCATCACATTCCAAATGGCTTTAAGAGGCTTGAGATCTGTTACAGTTGATGTTCTGACAGCATCAGCACCTCTCCATCCACCACCCCTTCTACTCCGCATGGGGTAGATAATGGCCAATAAATGACAAAAGGTGGAGAATGGGATTGCCACTTATCTCTTGCAGTGTCTTTGAGAGATTAGGTGACAGATGGACAGAAATAAAGGCTTAAATGTGCCTTGGATTGGCAGTTATTTTCCTCCCAGCTTATTAAATAAAAATTACTCAAAAGCCAATTGTTTTTTTAAAAAGAAATCTGAAATAATGTACTAGTATTGCTTGCAATGTGAACTCTGTGCAGCCAAGTAGGTTGGGGATGCACACTTCTTTGTTTTTAAGATTTATATTTATTTGAAAGGCAGAGTCAGAGGCCTCTTCTGTCTACTGGTTCACTCCTCAGATAGCTGGGTAAGGGCTTGGCAATCTGAGATTGATTCATTGCTTTTTATTGGAAAGGCAGATTTACAGAGAAAGATCTTGAATTTGCTGGTTCACTCCCCAAGTGGCGTCAGTGGCCAGGTGCTTCCTCGACGTCTCTCTCATGGGTACAAGGTCCCAAGGCTTTGGGCTGTCCTCTACTGCTTTCCCAAGCCACCAGCAGGGAGCTGGATGGGAAGTGAAGCAGCTGGGATTAGAACAAGCGCCCACATGGGATCTTGGCACTTGCAAGGGAAGGATTTAGCCACTAAGCCATCGTGCCAGACCCAGGGCTGGGCCAGTCTGAAGCCAGGAATCATGAACTCTATCTGGGTCTCCCACCTGGATTGCAGCGGTCCGTGTATGTAGCTTTTTCTGCTGCTTTCCAGGTGTATTAACAGGGATCTGGATCAGAAATGAAGCAGCTGGGACTTAAGCCATGCTCACATGGGATGCCATCATTGGAGGCAGGAGGTTAACTTGCTGTGCCACAACACTAGTTCCAGAAGCATGCTTGTGAATCTTAGCAATAACAAGAGAGGTGATCAAGTTAGAGACCTCCCAGGTTGAGCGTAGCTGCTACCCTGCTCAGCACACAGTAAGATGTGTGAAGCTTCTGTGTAATCTGTGGCTTGGATGCTGGAGCATTGGGGTTTCAGATACTTGCAGGAACACGGATAAAAGGCTGATGAAATTGTTCACTCCTCACAAGTTACAATCCCCAACAAGAGTTGTAGCTTTAAAAGAAAAACTCTTTGGTTTAAGATTTATTTCTTTATTTGAAAGTCCTAGAACTTTCATCTGTTAGTTCGCTTCCCAAATGGCAGTGGCAGGCAGGGTCGAACCGGGGTAAAGTCTGGTGCGTGGAGCATCCTTCATTCTGTGTGCACAACAGTGTCAGTGCACCTGGGTCTTCTACATGCATGGCCGTGTCCAAGGCCTTCAGCCACTTTCTGCAGCTTTTCCAGGCCCGTTACAGCAGGGGGTTTGGTCAGTAGCAGAGCATCCAGAGGCTGCCTGCATTTGTACTCCGTAACCTCTTCTTTCAAAGCTAGCCACGGAGAATCTCCCTGGCATCCGATTCCTCTCAAGATTTGAACCAGGTTTGTTGGAAAGAGCCCACAGTTTCCTTAGGAGTGTACCTGATGGGTGCTGGTGCTATGGCATAGCAGCTTAGGCTGCTACCCAAGGGCATCCTTGCATATTGCTGTTCATGTCCTCCTGGCTGCTTTGCTTCTTCTGATCCAACTCCCTGTTAAGGATCTGGGAAAAGGCACAGAAGATGGCCCAAAGGTCGGGCCCCTGCCACTATGTGGACACCTACATGAAGCTCGTGGATTGGGCATGGCTTAGTGCTGGCTGCTGCAGCCTTCCAGGGGTGAACCAGCTCGTGGATTGGGCATGGCTTAGTGCTGGCTGCTGCAGCCTTCCAGGGGTGAACCAGCTCGTGGATTGGGCATGGCTTAGTGCTGGCTGCTGCAGCCTTCCAGGGGTGAACCAGCTCGTGGATTGGGTATGGCTTAGTGCTGGCTGCTGCAGCCTTCCAGGGGTGAACCAGCAACGCAAGACTTCCAGATGTGCTTCACCATGACTGACTTTCCAGGCAAATAATTAAATCTTAGGGAAAGAAAGTGTATGTCATGAAGTCAGGCCCACCAAGGATAACTCCCATTCTTAAAAACCATGCCCTCTGGACCTAATATCTGCAAAATCCCATCATAAAACCCAGGTTAATATCCCATTGAATATCTTGTACAAAATGTGGGACTGTGCTCGCCTCGGCAGCACATATACTAAAATTGGAACAACGTGTGGGGACAGTGAGAATTGTGGGGACAGTGAGAATTGTGGGGACTGCCTTAGAATCCCGTCCGCCAGTCATCAGTGAAGTATTAAGTCAACTACGCTGTGAAAAGCACTTAGCATAGGATCTAATGCAATAATATTCCATAAATAAGATATAATACTAACATTTATTAATAGGATATGTTCATATTTTAATTTTATAATTCCTTTTTCCCAACTACATGAATTTTTGAATCGTACTATTGCCCTGGAAACATGACCGTGTGCTGTTTATTTGTATATTCCACAAAGAAACAAGGTGGAGGAATCATTGTCAAATCACAAAACCCCACGTTTAGTCTATGTGAGTTGATGAATTAATTGAAATTATTAAAAAATTGGAGTTAGAGAAATGTTGGTATTGAAGCACGTTATAACGAGACCTGCAGAATGCATTTGTTCATTGTTCACTTTTTCGCTTCTGAAGTAAAATGCCTCGAAGAATCCATGCTAAACATTCACATTTTCCCAGAAAGAATAGTTCTTCCTGTTCTGCATATAAGATGAATACTTCTAACGCTTCGCTCATGCAAAGTACTTTGTCTCTCCCGTCCATAGATTCACTCTAGGATAGGCAATGTTATGCAATTTGGAGATCCAGCTACAACAATGAAAATGCTGTGGGAAGGAAGATCCCTAAAGGGTTAACAGTAATATTTTGCAAATTGAGGCAAGGGCAAGGGGAAAGGCATTAGCATAAGAAAAGATAGCCTTGGGGGATTTTCCACTCCAACGTTTGGTACTAAGAGCTCTATGTTGCCAAGGAGGAGGCTAAGAAAGAAGAAAGCTAGTGTCTACACTTTCTCCAAACACATTCCATTGTGCTCATTCCACTGATGAGAAAGACCTAGAGAGTCAAAGTACTTCTTTCTGACAAATCAAACTTGGAAAAGCATCTTGTGCTATTGTAACAAAGCAAGAGGATTCCTCGGGTTTCAATCCCAGAAGGATTTTCCAAGTATGTCAGGACTAGACCAGAAGTGGTTTGAGATGAAAAGAGAAAATATTAAGCAGTGATTTTTAGTTAATTGAGTTCCAAATGTTTGCAATTAATTCAACTCATTTGATAGCTTCCATTCATTTTATAAAGTGTCTCACGGTATCTGAATGGTTAGGGGGTCATTGCTTTTTATTAATGCCTTAAGATATTTCAATATAAGTACAAAAATGCAGTTTAGAATTGTAATTACTTTCCTTAGTTGAAAGCACTGAAAAATGTGTGAAATGTTCTTACTGATTTCCTAAAGATAGAGAATGTATTAATTTTGGAAAGAGAATTCATTTTTAAATAACGGAGACAAATGAAAACATGGGCTATTTGATTCTAAATTTTATAAGGCTTAACCTCACAGTGAGTAATCATGATGCATTTCATTAGAAAATTCAGATAGAGGCCAACTTACTTTAGATAAATCTTGTGGCATTCTACACTATTCCCCCATTATATAGATAAAAATGTATTTTGTTTCTAAGAAAGTTTTCCCAATTTAAAAGATGCAGGTGTGTGTGTGTGTGTGTGTGTGTGTGTGTCTTCCTATTTGAATAGGAATCTGGGAGAACACTTGAGAAAAATAATGTGAAAGTGAAATCACAATGGAAACTTCATGAAAAATGGAAATTATTCTATTGTTTTTGCATAATACGTCCAAGAACCACCCCCCCCCCCCAGCCTCGCCCCATCGCCTCTTAGACAAGTTGGTTCCTATGTGTCTTGGAATTAGAGTATTTTAATATTTTTATTTTCTTTTACAGTATGGAGATTCAAGTATAGCTGCTCTGGATAAAATAACTCACAGATATCAAAATCCATGGTAAGCACATATAAATCTTCCTACATTACTAACACAATAGTTTTTAAACTTTTGCATGTATTACCAATTTTTATTTCATCCAGGTTGTATCTTTGTAAAATTGCTATTCCTAATAAGCAACAGTAAATTTTGACTGCTAGGTTGTAATTAGCAGGCAGCAAGGAATAAAACAACCACAGTTAGCATGAGAACCTGTTAGACTCAATGAAGAGAAGCTAGCCTACAGCTGAAAAGCAGCTGGGTGAAGAGATTAGTTTAACTTGATAAATAATTCTCTCTCGACATATGACAATTAAATTTTTCTCAGTTGAAAAAGCTCATTGCATGCTGTTGGCCTAGAAACCGTCATAACGGGTAATCTGGCTTAATGAAGGTAATCCTACTGAAGTCACAGGCTTCGGGTCGTGCTATTTCATGGCTGCTTCTAACCAAACGATGCACATCTATCTAGCGCAGAGCTTGTTGGAGTGCAGGCAAAGAGCAAAGCCTGCGCTGTCCTCCTTGGAGGAAGCGGGCTTCAGGCAGCACTGCTCTCAAGGGGTTGCAGGTGCAGTATTGTCTTCCTGGCGAGGGTTGCTGGGACCTGTTTCACCTCATTTTTAACTGTGCGATGCTATGCTGTTAGCATGAGCTGTTTTCATCAGATAGGCTTTTGACATGGAGTTTAAACTCTTATCAAAAGTAGTGATCTAGGACAGAAAAGAGCTCACGGGGCAATTCCTGGGACTTACCCAGCATATTCGGTGCTTAAAGCCATACAGAAAGGTTTCCCCTGTCGCCTGGAAGGCACATGTGCTTAAAATATTCTAGTTCAGTAGATAACAGGCATCCAACCACAAATACCCCCTATGGGAAGAAACCCATTCAAAGCCACTGTAAATCGGTGAAATTTCACCGAGCCTCAGATTAAGGTGTAAAATGTGCTGCATTTATTGGAACATAAAGAGCCTGTTAAAAAGTATCTAAAAGCCACTGAGGCTCTAAATGTTTTGCCCCCATGGAAGAATGTTGGCTGCCTTCACTTTAGGGGAACAGACAATATATGGATTGTACCAGGTCAGGAGGATGCAGCATGTTTATGAAACAGTTAGAGGCTGTGGATTCACATGTGAACATATATGAAGAAAAATAGGAATCATGTGCTGAGTACAAAACTAACAAGGAAGACAAAAATCTAAAAATGATATTTAGAGGCCCCGGCTCAGTAGCCTAGCAGCTAAAGTCCTCTCCTTGCACGTACTGGATCCCATATTGGCACCAGTTCTAGTCCCCGCAGCCCTGCTTCTCATCTAGCTTTCTGTTTACGGTCTGGGAAAGCAGTCATGGACGGCCCAAGGCCTTGGGATCCTGCACTGCGTGGGAGACCTGGAAGAGGCTCCTGGCTCCTGGCTATAGCTCGGCACAGCTCCGGCCATTGCAGCCACTTGGGTAGTAAACCAGCAGCTGAAAGATCTGTCTCGCCTCTTTTTGTGTATGTGACTTTCCAATTAAAAAATGCTTTTAAATAAATTAGAGCATTAAACAAAGCAAAAACTCCCACAGCTTGTTCGTAGCCTCTGATTTGGGTCGGACACCTGTAACTTACAGGCTGAGGTGCTTCGTGAGAGTCTAGGCACCTGTGCCATTTCAAAGGCTTTCTGGTTCACTCCTGGGCTAGCAAGATGCTTGAATTCTTTCAAATACATTAAAAAAAAAAAAAAGAGGGAGAGTTATAGATCTTTCATTCACTGGTTTACTCCCCAAATGATGGCAGCAACTAGGGCTGAGCCACGCCAAGCCAGGACACTAAATCTTTGTCCAGGTCCTTCTGTGTTGGTTCAGGAGCCCCCAAATTAAGGCCATCTTCTACTGCTTGTTAGCCTAGTAACAGGGACTTGGATCAGAAGTAGGCTGAATTCAAACCTGTGCTCATATGGGAAGCCAGTGCCACAGGCAATGCCAACCCTAGAAGCTGTGCTGAGTAGGGTGCTAACTCTGACATGGCTAGGCATGTACCACACTCAGCAGACTGCAAGTTAGACTGAGAAATAAACTTTCTAGTGCTTTCTGTTCTCAGCCAGTAGTATTCATCCTGCACCTCTGTCCTCAAAAACACCACCAGATCCCATTACCACAGTAATAATAAGTCTGTGTGCTCCTTGGAACCTGAGTCCCAGAGGAAACGAGAGGCGTTAATACAACTATGTGACTTCTAGAAAATGTTACGTATTTTTTTCAGCATGTTTATTCTTCCATTAGGGAATGATATCAACAAATCACACATAGAAATAACAAAGAACAGAAACAACAAGCAAAAAATTAAAAAGCATATTTACCAGGATTGCAAACAAAGGCTGCACACAGTATCCAAATCCGAAAGTGTCACTCAAGCCTGTATGTAATATTTTGTACTGCGTCTTAGTTATTACAGATTAGGGAAAACGTGACATTTGTCTTTTTGACATTGGCTTATTTCACTGAGCATAATGCTTTCCAGTGGCATCCATTTAGTTGTGAAAGGTAAAGATACCCCTTTTTACCCAGTCATCCATTGATGGGCATCTGGCTGATTCCTTTTCTCAGCCAGTGTGTTTTAAGTTGCTATAAACATGCTGGTGGAGATAGCTTTCCTGTGCTGTTTCCTTTTGCTTGGATAAATTCCCAGGAGAGGGATGCCTGTTGTGCAGTAAGTCTGTTTGCAGTTACCTGAGAAGTCTCCGTGCTCTCCTCCGTAATGATTGGACTAGTTCACATTGCAGCCAAAAATGGCATAGAGTGCCTTTGCCCACACCCTCACCAGCATCTGTTGAGTTTTGGGTGATAGCCATTCTAACTGGGATGAGATAAAGCATCATTTGGTTTTAATTTGCATTTTTGATAGCTTGTGAACCTAAGCATTTTTTTTCATTTATCTTTTGGACATTTGATTTTTACCTTTTGAGAAATGCTTGTTTATGTACTTTGCCCAGGTCTTAGCCGGACTGTTTGTTTTGTTGTTAAAGCTCCTTACAACTCCTGGATGTTAATCCTGTCAGTTGCGTGGTTAGTGAATATTTCTTGCCTTTTCAGTTTGTTGATGGCTTCCTTTGTGGTGCAGAAACTGCTTCTGTAATCCATTTTGGCTGTTTGATTGCCTGTGCTCCTGGCACATGAGAAAGGGGTCTGTGATCTTCTATTTGCAGCACCATAATCTACAATAGCAAAAAACAAACAATCCAGATGCCATCCAAAGAGGAGTGGATAAAGAAACTGTGGTACATCCACTCCATGGAATATTATTCTGCCATCAAAAAGAATAAGTCTACCATTTGTAACCAAATGGTCCCAAAAGGACAAATATCATGTGTGTTCTTTGATAAAAGGCAAACTTCATGCAAAATTGAAGTTTAATAGCCCTTTCAATATTGTTTTTGCTACATCTTAGAGGGTTTGATACTCTTGTTTTTACTTTTATTCACTCAAAAAAAGTTTTTCTTATTTCCTCTCTGACTCATAGGTCACACGGTAGCACCGTTTGCTTCAGGAAGGTCTTTTTAATTTCTTCAGTGACTGATCATTTAGTAGCCTGTTATTTCACTTCATGTTGTAAATGTTCTGTCTTTGTTGCTGATTGTAATGGCTTTTCATTTAAGGGATATACAGTAACTGTAGTAGAGACTGTCACAGATATGAAGATACAGTGTACATGTCTACTTCCAAATCAGTGTGGACTCCCAATGAAACTCTTGACAATAGGATGCTGGACTCCCTGCCATTGTCCGTGCCCACAGTGCCAGGAAACAGAATGATGGACTTCTGACTGATTGTGAGGAACTGTACTGGTGTAGTGACCTGGGAAAAATTAGTGTGTGTGTGGGGTGGGGGGCAAGAATTGCAGAAGAGAGAAGGGAAATTCCAGGATCTATGGAACTGTATCATGGGATAATAAAAAAATAAGTTCTTTAGAAATAAGAAAATGCAGGGTTTTTCCATGTTGAAAACGGCTGAAGGTTTTTATCGTGAAAGGATGTTGTGTGCTATCAAAAGCTTTCTCTGCATCTATTGAGATAATCATTTGGTTCTTATTCTTGAGCTTGTATATCATGTTTGTTAATTTATGTATGTGAGGTCATCCCTGCATACCAGGAACAAATCCCAGTTGGTCCCGGTGAGATTTCTGATGTGTTGTTCGATTCAGTTAGCTAGTATTTTGTTGAGTCACGTCTGTAGTTTTCTTTCTCTGTTTTATACTTTTGTAGTTTTGGAATTAAGGCTATGCTGGCTTGATAGATTTTGGGAAGATTTCCTCTCTTTCAATTGTTTTGAATAGTTTGAGAAACACTAGAGTTCTTGCAACATTTGGTAGAATTCTATCATTAGGCCATGTGAGTCTGGGCTTGCCTTCACTGGACGTGTCATTATTGCTTGTTCCATCTATGTCGTAGTTAGATTTTTCTGTGTCCTCATGACTCAGCCTGTGCATGGGCAGAAATCTATCCATTTCTTCCTGATTTTCGAGCTTGTTGCTGTGTAGCTGTTGACAGTCATTCCTGACACCCTTTGTATGTCTGCTGTCCAGTCTTATTTCCCTTTTTGATTTTACTATTTTGGGGCTTCTCTTGTTTTCGGTTAGTTGGGCAAATGGTATATCAATTTTGTTTCTGACTTTGAAAAGTTACTTCTTCAATTCCCTGAGTTTATGCACCTTTTTATTTTTACTCTCTAAATTTTAATTTTTTTCCTCCTTTTAAATTTGGATTGGTCTTATTTAGATTTTTAGACGCACTGATAGATCACGTATTTGAAACCTTTCTGATTTTGTGATGTAGGCACCTATTGCTATAAACTTGCCTCTTAGCACTGATTATGCTATATCCTGTAAGTTTCTTTTTTAAGGGGCCCGGCGCGGTGGCGCAAGTGGTTAAAGTTTCTTTTTTAAGTCCATAGTTTTTTTAAAGATTTTTTTTTTAATTGCAAAGTCAGATATATAGAGAGGAAGGCCACCATTAGCAGAAGGCCACCATTAGCGAGCTGGATTGAAA